CAAGGTCAGGCACAAGGTCAGGGATGGGGGAGCTGGGGAAGCAYGCCACCTCCCTGGAGCCTGCCTGAGTGCAGGATGCACCGGTCCGAGGGTCCTCCTGCCCCCTCCGCCCTCCTGCRCTCAGGATCTGCTGCCCCGGAACTTTGGAAGGACCTGGTCCACCCCACGCCTCTCAATCCTGGGCCTGGATTTCTGCATGAGGCCACCACTTACGATGACAAGACGGGCCTCTCAGGGAGCCCGTAGTCCCTTAGCGGTACGGGGCACGTAAGTGTGTGGGGCCTCCAGTGAAGGCAGGGCCCAGGGTTTAGAGCCACTTGCCACCCTCAGAAATGGTAGCAGTGAGTGGCTTGCCGTGGCCTTCCCTGCTCACCGCACGATTCCCTGAGAAGGTGGTGTTGCCCCCATCCTGCAGATGGGAAGACGGAGGACACCCAGGGAGAAAGTGGCAGGGAGAGAGGGCCGTGTGCCTGACTTTAGACTCTCACCTCAGGTAACTAACTGCAGCAGCTTTCGGCTGTTTTTAAAGATTTAAGTAAAGGCTGGAGTCAAATTGGAGAATGGATATATATATATGTTTAAAAGACTGAAGATGAATGGATATTATATATACACATTTACGCTCCTACGTATGGTTGCAGCTTGAGCCATCTACCATATAAAAATTCCTTATATAATATGCATATATATTTATTCCGTCCTCCTCTGTATTTGTGGGTTCCGTGTCCAGGCATTTAAACAACAAGGATCAGGAATATCCAGGAAAAAGAATTGTTCCAACGACTCTGAACACGCACTGACTTTTTCCCTGTTATTATTCTGTGAGCAACACACATAACAACTATTCGAGTAGCGTCCAGGTTGAATGCGCCATTACGAGTCACCTGGAGATGGTGGGGGGTCCACAAGGACCTGTGCAGACACCCTGACGTCTCATACAGGAGACTTTCCCCCAGATGTGCATATCTGCAGGGGGGTCCTGAAACCAACGCCCCACAGATACCGAAGGATGAACATACACGATACACATCAGACATGCCCTCTGCAGATCGGTTGCAGGATTTTCAGGGTCTCTCAAAAGTCACGTTGCCCTAGCCAGAGGCAGTCCTGAGAGCTGCTGCTTGGGCTACCTGGGGACACAGGAGGAGGAGGGGAATCACCTCGGACTGTCCTTGGCCCCAATATCAGCCCTGTTCTGTTCAGTGCCCTGTCCTGCTGTCAAAAACCATCTTTCTAATCCACCAGCCCCAGACCCAGAGGGGTCCTTCCAGTTGGGACTGTGGATGTAGACAGCCAGGTCYTGAGTCCTGTTGTTTAATGCCTAAACAATAAAAAATACGCTGGTTCCTGTGGGTCCCTGGCAGGGTCCTAGCTGCTGCCTGGGGCGGAAGCCTTTGACCTCTCAGTACCCGGGAGCACCAGCTTCCCATGTGCAGATGGGGAGACGGAGGTGCAGAATGTAAGGGGCAGAGGGGCTCCGACTGCATCTGCTGGTCCCTCTTTGCATCTGACCCTCTGAACATGGCAAGGGGTTAGTCACTCTGACCCTAAACCTGGCCCCGCAGGAGGTTTCTGCCCTGGAGAAGGARCGACTGGCCTTGGTGGAGGACAGGGCCCCCCAGCCCTCGGCCCCCAGGAAGGGCTCCAGTCAGAGTCCCGGGTGGCCTTGGCAGGGGCCAGAGCTGACAGGCCTCTGTCCAGGGCCTCACAGCTGCTGAAGAACCTAACATGCCCTCCCAGTGGCCGATGGAAGACTCTTGCACGCTGGCTTTGGGTGCCAGGCCTTGGGGCTTCTGAAGGTGGGCCAGAGTCACCAGAGGACCCAGGACTCTGCTCAGGCTGCAGACCCCACCATGCYGGGCCCCTTTGTCCTCTGTAGGGAGAGAAACTGAGGCACCGAGAGAGGGTGCACCCAGCCTGAGGTGGACCAGCCAGACCCAAACCTGTCCAAACCTGGCTCCCCTCCCACTCCAGCACGACCCAGGCCCCTGCCCATTGTACAGGAGGGGAAACCGAGGCCAAGGCTCCACCGAATGGAGCCAAAGCTGGGTGGCCCTCTGGGGAGTCTGGGACCCTGGCAGTGCAGCTAGGTGGCTGATTTGTTTATTGGCCTGCCTGGAACCCAGGAAGCTGCCCAGAAAGACAGCCAGAGGAGAGAGGGAATAAATAAAACCATGATAAWGTCTCTTTTCTGTGTCCTGCGCAGAGCCACAGCCTCGGGCGGTGCCCAGGAGCAGCATGGGGAAGACATGGGTGGCTGCCAAGTTTCCGTCCTGTTTCTCTGGGCCCACGCCGTTGAGCAACAGGCCCGCAGGTCACCTTCCTCTCAGCCTCCTGGGTGGAGGGGCCCTTCCCTGCCTCCTGGCCCTGCAGGGACTGGCCCTTGTCCCAGGCCCCTGTCCTCCCTGCAGCCAGACCCATCAGTGTGGCTCAGACACATTCAGTGCTGGACACRGCATTCCAGGCCCCTGACCCAGTTTCTGCCACGGCTCTAGGAATGCCAGGCTCTGCCAGCTATGCCAGCGGCCAGGGGTGGCAGAGATGGGTGGGCGGGGCTGGCCYGTCCACCTCTGAGCCTCAAAAATAACAACAGTGGCTGTGCCCACCCCTGTCCAGCTCTCCAGCCCAAGTGCCCTGCCTGGCCTTGTTCTGTGCATGGGCAGCACGWGGCCTGGACCCTCTTCCTGGCCCCCTGGGTGGCAGGACACAGGGGCCTGGAAGCAGGTGGGAAGGCTCAGGCGAGGCAGGGGAACCCTCCCAGCACCCCAGCTGCAGGTCTGGCCGGGAATCTTCTAAGCCCCTTCMTGTCCCCTCCCCTCCCTCTGGGTTTCGATCTTTCCTTCTCTTCTCCCTGCTTTCCCTCTCTCCTCTCTCCTCCTACCTTTCTCTCTCCTGTTTTCCTTTCTTTAAAATAAAGCCCAAACAGGAACTCGGGTTAGGAATCGGGTAACTACTTCACCACCAGCCCTACCAGCCTCCCTGTCCACCCCAAGCACGTGGACTCTGTTTATATTCTTAGGCACTGATTATTCCAGAAGATGGTGTTGAGGGGAGGGGCCTAGAGACGCAGAGAACTCTGCGACAGATGCCACCTCCAGGCAGCCTGGCCTTGGCAGCTCAGGTGGAAGGCCGCTGGGCGGGCACAGGGTATTTTTGTGCCTCCGTCTGGCAGGCTCTTTCAGGTCCTGCCTGTGCACGATGTGTGGGCACCGCATGATGCTGGGGCAGTGCCAGGGACATTTCAGCTGGGGGCAACAAGGTGCTGATTCCCACTGCCCCGGCCCCCAGAGAGGCCAGAGGAGGTGGTGACTTAGAAGGTAGGTCCTGGAGGCTCAGAGGCCAGAGTTCGAATCCTGCCTCCAATACCTTGTAGCTGTCCAGACTCAGGCAAGACTCACCCTCTCATAACCTCTGTTTCCAAATCTGAAAAATGGGAGCAGAATCATCTCTAGCTCCTGGCGACTTTGAGAAGAGTCAACGAGAGGGTTCACCACAGGTGCCTGGGCCGCTGCCTGGTCGTCCTCTGTGCCCAGTGGCCGCTCCTGGCACCGCTGGTGCTATTCCTCATTCTAACGTCACCATGGAGGGATGATGGCGGCCCCCACCCAGAGCTGCCAGGAGGCCCCCCGCCCTGGCCTGTCTGTGCACAGAGGAAGCAGGTTGGGTGGCACTGAGGGGTCCCTGCAGCCCCTGGAGGAGGCCGTGCAGCTCGTCCCAGCTGGCTGGACCCCCTGGAATTCCCTGAAGCCTCCCCTCACGAGAGGGGCTTTTCCTTCCGGGAGCGTCCCTCCTGCCCTGCCCAGGGCCTCAGCCAGCAGCCCCTGCCATTACCACTCCTCCCCTCCTCTCCATTGCTGCCTCCCGCTCCTCTTGCCCGTCCACCCCCTGCCTTCCCCGGAGAGGCCTGGTCAGATCCACCCTCCTCTCCTCTGCTCCAACACTTCTAGAAGATGGTGTTGAGGGGAGAGACTAGAGACGCAGAGAACTTCTAGAGCATGTTCCATCTGCCCGCTCAGCCTCCCTGCAGCGCCTCTCCCACCATTGTCAGGCCACTGTCTGGTCTGCCTTGTCCCGGCTGCTCCCACACCTGGCCCCTGCCCCACCCCATGACATCCCCCTGTCCTTCCGAAGGACGTCACCTCTTTAAACGTGCCCTCGCGCGCGTGGATGTGCACAGGTAAGGAGTCTGCTGGCTTCCCTACCCCCAGCTGTGGACCCCACCTGGAGAACCCTCCTCCCTGTTTCCTCTCCTGAACCCCAAGAGGCTGCAGGTGGAGCCCACGGCACCTCGGTCACTCAGGACCCCAAACTCCCACGCACGCACAAGCCCCCGGGGAGGCKGCGCTCACTGGAGTCCCCTGCGTGAAAGCATCTGTTTGTTCACCTGACCTGAGACCAGTCCCAAAGACATTTGTCAAACACAGATATTGACCGAGACCTGGGGACCCAACAGTAGCATCAGTGACAGCCCCTTCTGCATTTCTACTTCTAGACAGTCACAGCAGAGTGCCCAGCTAAGCAGGAGTCCTCCAGAAGAACGGAGAAGTACATGCAAGTTGCCAGTTCTCTGTCCCTCAGACCCCAAATGAAAGTCCCCAAGGGGCTGCAGGACTCCAGAGAACAGGACTGCTCTCCAGGGAACAAAGCAACCAGAGGTCCCACTGCAGGACAGCCGGCAGGTCCCCACAGGCCGGGCAGGTGGGGTTGCGTTACCTGTTAGACGGGAACCAGGGACTTGCCTGGGGGGTGGTGGTCGGAGCTCTCCTGAGAGTGAGAATTCAGAGCCCAGAGCTGTCCTTCTGCCCTGGCCCTGCGCTTCGGGCTGCTGTGCCAGGCAGCTGGGTGACGCGCTCCTTTGAAGCAGGGAGTTTATTTCGGGCCCACCGCATGACCACTGATGGCGAGCCAAGCTATACGGTGCTCCGAATCTCAGATTTCCTGTTCCAAGACGGCACAGAGGAAGCTGCGGGGCCCCTTCCGATCCTCCGGGTGCATTAGAGCCGGACTCTCACTTGGGAGAGCATCTCGGAACGTGGGCCCTCACGTGATGTCACCAGTTGTGATCCTTGACATGGAGGCCATATATGGGTATGTTTCTGGAACTACCCAGGAGGGAGCGAGAGAGGAGAGAGATGCAGAGGGTGAGCCCCAGGGAAGCAGGGAAAGGGAACGAGAGGCAGGGAATTGGGAAAGAGGCAAGAGCCAGGGAGAAGAGATGGCCTCCAGACTGTCCCCGCTAGGGTGGCCCACAGCACAGGGGACGGCCAGAGGGGCGGCCGAGGGAAGAGAAGGGGCTGAGGAGTCGGCACCGAAGGCCTCTGGGAAACGAAGGGTCAGTGCAGATGGCACAGCCTGGTGTTCGGAGACACAGGGTGTCCTGTTGCTGGACACTGTGGAGGGGGCAGGGGATAAAGGGTAGGACACYAACTAAGCAGCCACCACACATAAAAGCATATGGGCGAGCTCTGGGCAGACTCACAGGCCAGAAGGACCCCTCCCTCCAGGCCTGGAGGACACCKCCATCCCTGAGGCAGGGGGATGGCACACATGGCCAGCCACCAAGCATCCAGGACGTGCCCAGGCACTGCCAGGTGCTCACAGGGCCACAGGCAAGTCAGATCCCAGGCCCCAGGGGTGGGGGCCCGGAGGTGCCGTGGTCCACTCCTCTGAGTGGAAAAAGATTTCCGTTTCAAAGCCCCCTTCCTCTTGGAGGACCTGGGATTTAGGACAGCCATCAGATTCCTCCTCAACTCAAACTCAGGACCCTCACTTCCGATGTTCCACGAGGAGATAACTCTCAGATGCCAGGCGTCCAGGGCCGAGCCAAGGTTCACCAGGGATGGGAGGGGCATTGTCGGTGCCGGGATGTCTCCCAGCTACTCTGGCACCTGCTGAGTTGTGTACCACCYGAGCTGGGACAGTCCGGAGGTCATCTCAGGCGCATCCTTCCAGACCATGTGCTGTGGCAGGGTGGGGAGGGGCTCCGTACTGTTTGCAGATTCTCCTGGGGGTAAGACCAAGACCGGCTTAGACTGGAGACGTCTCTCTGCATCTTGTGCTTCCTGAGGCTCCTTGCTGGGGGTGAAACACAATTTCCTCTGCTCACCGACTACCACCAACCCCCTCTGCAGAYTTGACCTGTGGAGGGTGGGCCTGGGTCGCCTCCCAGGCCCCCGTTAGGTGCCCCCTGCTTTGCCCTCTCAGGACAAACTTCTCATATCAAGAGAGCTGGGGAAGCTCGGCCTTCAAACCTTCCTGTCTCATTCCTGAACTTGGCATTTGAAAAAACAAGAATCCAGCCGGGCCCAGTGGGGCACCCCTGAAATCCCACAGCTCAGGAGGCTGAGGCAGGAGGATCACAAGTTCAAGACCAGCCTCAGCAACTTATC